GAGCGTCCAGAGACGCGCGGAAAGCGTTACCAAAGCTTAGATAGGGAATATAAAGTCTAGTTTACTACTTCTCCATGATCTTTGTAATCTCAAAGGGTACTTTGGCTCTCTCTTTAGACGAAAGAATCAAATGAAGAGATATATCCTTATTAATATTTCGCTACGATATTACCAACTTCTTCCTATGCACTAGATCACTAGACCACAGGCATCGTCCTTTATCGCTCATTCTCCCCGTTTTTCTTCATTCATCTACGAAGTTTTTATATCGTATATTTATCTGTAATCGACCTGTTTTTTATTGATAGTAATGGTGATGATAATGATGATGATGATAATGATAATGAAGAAAAAGTAGCAAATAAATGTTTTTCCATTCAAGGACTGGTCTCTTTTTATTTATCTCACCACACGACATTGTTGATTATCCTTGTCAAAATTATTTCTCACTTGGCTTGAATGGAAAAACCCAAGCGTGCGATGAATAGCTTTAAAGCTATTCATCCTCGAAATCTCTAGATTTCGAAGATTTTCGATATATGTCGATGAAAAAGAAAGAGAATGACGAAAAAGTCTATGTTTTGGCTAATTTTTCAATTTTGTCGCATCATCTGTCTTCACAGAAGCATATATCATTCTTTTCTTATTTTAATTTATTTTTTGAAGCACATTAACATTTGCGCACATTCGTTCGGTTATATTTTTTTATTTTTTTTTTTTTTATTCTAATTAATTTTTCCATTTCAATTGCCAAGAGTGAAAATCTACCCATCCCGCGTCGCCTGGTTGATGTTATTTCTATTGAATGACATTCTTAAATATTTATTATATTATATGAATATGAAAGTAATCACTTTGACACATCAACCTGACGAATATATCCTACATACAATACGATCCTTGAGATGTTGTATTACTTCGTAATTTATTACTATTGCTGTTTCAGAAGATTACAACAATAATTAAGAAATAACGATACAGAATTCAAAATAATGTATTCCTACTTAAACAAAGTAGCACGGAAAATTTTGTGTTAGTTACAAAAAAGATTGTAACATCTTTATTCTTCATTAAAAAAATATATGCTTCAAATATTATTGAAATTACAGTTAAAAATCATTCAAGGGTGTTATAACGAATTTGTTAAATATGTTATAAAATTTTTCTTCTCTTTAACAGTTTATTACATATAGATTACATTAATAAAGATTAGATACGACAATTAAATAATAATTTCATATAATATATCGATGCTTTTTCGGATTAGATTGCGCGTTTCCGCGTCGTTATTATCGAATTTTGGATATAAATTATGTTGTCTCAAAAGTAGCCTCAGATTGCAGGCTGACGCATGGTGGGTATAACACACATACGTACTGTGAAAATGTGTGCTTTGCAATGTAACGAGTGTTCTTCTCTGTCTATACGATTATTTTTCTTACCATTTGTTTTTTTTCTCGGCGAGCTACTTGCACGATTGAATGTACTGACCAAAATATTGCCGGCGAATTTATGCGAGAGTCGAGGTTTGGAATTTTTTTGAAAAAAAACCTTATTTTAATGGATATTGCTATCCCCTATGATTGCTTTTGAATTTGTGTATAATTTTTAAATCTGCTATATCAAGAAAAGGCGGCTGTAGAGAGTTTTATATATATATATATAAATTGATACAAAAAAAAGATCGAATTTCCTACAAAATAGGCAAGGTGGCAGCGAGTTGACGACACGAACACATAGGAATGTTGGCTGAATTTCTTTTGCAAGTTTTTATGCATTATTGTTTTTTTTCTGATAATCTCTTTCAGCATCGGGTGCGGGTGGACAGGAACGAAGGGTCAGCATGCGGTTGCATCGTAGGGATACACTTCTAGCAGCTGCAGGAGAAATGCAGCCCAAGTCCAAGTGAGTTGCTACACGATATAGAACGACTAAATCCACTAAACGACTGGGTATAACTTGCTCTACTGAGATCCGCGGATGAAAAATATCGTAAGCTTACATAAACAATGATGTTGACATTAATTATTTTCCACAAACGTTAATTATTTCGATTGTTTTAGTGTCATAATAGAAAAGGAAGGTTTTGGCATAAAAAAAAATCAACCGAAACTTTCTCTATGTCTTCATATACTGTATATATATATAATGCTAAAATAGGTCGTCAAATTTTGCAATTTTCTTTGATCAATTTGGGCTCAAATGTTTCTCAACAATATAACTCTTGATATCTCAAAGATATCGATAGTTTTTGAATTAAACTTCAAGAGCGAAAATAAAATCTGATTATTTCTGTAATTTTTCAAATAAACTTTAATTGACTTTTAATTTTTAATCTAGTTGATATTGATAAAGAATTATGAAAAAGAGAGAGATTGATTTCAAGTTTGTCAATGAATATTTTGGCGACTTATTTTTTCAGATCATCTTGCATAGACTTCTTCGCGAGAATAGTTCAGAGCTTGTTACACTCTCGTTTCAGGTTGCATGATTGTTGCACATTTTGGGGAACAATTTCATTTTATAAGCCTGTTTCTGATTCTATTTATATTTATATCGATTTCATATAATGGCTGTGATACTAAGTATGAAAATTTGCAGTACATTAATAATATAAGCCCGAATTTTATCAATTTTCACAGCTCTCACCAAGTCTCATGATTCATCGAGGTGTAATAGTCCAATTTTAAGATTGTAATTTGTGTTACGCTTGTGCAAACGCTAGATCGTGTTTTGTGTGTCGGTGCGCGTTATTTATATAGTAGCTTAATTTTAGTAGGAAGGTGGTGTCGCAATACCGTGGCATGGTATTTCAATTAATTGTGTTAATTCGGGATAAATGGATATATAATCGAGACAAATGGATAAAGGGAAAGGAACACATTTTGTCATTTGGAAAGAATTCTTGACATGCATACATCCCATATTCAGAATGACTCATTATTTCATCGTCGCGTCTTTGGTGACATATATTCTTTAATCATTTTAAAGTCTGTAATCAAAACGTGAGTGTTTTGATTAATTTCAAGTTATAAACTTGATTAAGAAATAGATAATGCTTTCTCTAAAAATGCATAATTCTTTCACAAATTTAACTTACAAAAGTGCAAATAGAAAGATGATATAAATTTTATTATTTATATAATTTTTCACAAAAAAATTTTAACATATTTGCAATTTAAAGATTGTTTATAAAAATATTTAAAGATAAAGAATGAAATTTTTTTAAGAGGAAAATAGTCTCTTCATTTTCTAAAAAAAATTGCCTTTAAATTTATCAAAGAAAGCATTATATTATAATAATAACGAGACATCCTATATATATATGTTACCGATAACTGTATGAAATGAAGAAGTAAAAAGTACATCTTAAGATATAATATTTATATTTAACTACGAAAAAACATTCTCTCCAAATGAAGATAAAAGATTACTATTGCTTGCTGTCACAAATGCACTCTCTCACAATATAATACGTATTATTTTTAATAAATTACATTAGAATATGTGATTAACAAAAAAAAAAACTAATTAAAATACGTGCAAAATACAATTTCTATATTTTGGTAAATACATCTATAATGCCTGTAGCTTGTGATATAGGCCGATCGGCTATATAATTTTGAGATTATCGCATGTGATTAATAAATCATTTACGAATAATTTTCTTGATTGTTAGATTAAATTTTGATTATACTTCATGTTACTGGGATGCCCAAGCATAAAAATCGCACGTCGATAAAACGTAAAATAAGAAAAACTTGATATTATCTTACATTTCATATAGAGTAACATTTGAGAAAAGCATAAGGGTACAGTAGAATTTTTCAAAATTCGTATTTAAATGATTTAATTTTTAATTTATGACATCGTATCATAGAAGAACTAATAACAAAATTAATATGTAAAATAAATGACTTCTTCAAGAAAAAGAAATAACTTTAGCATGTCCTGCAAGTGAAATATTTTCTAGGACGCGTTATATATATGTTTCTCCGCGAGGAGAAGACTTTCACATTTGCTTTTCAAGACTTATAATGCTAGCAATAAGAGCGTAACGAGTCAGAGAATAGCTGGACGATTCAACTGGTTATTACACAACTCTGCTTGGTAACTGGTTAATCCACTATTGAATGTCTTGAAATATAGACTTGATTTGTAGAGCCATTGTAGGTTGACATTGTCGTTGTACTCTCATTAATATAATTCGTATTTGGAAATATCAGGACATAAATTCATCGTGTTTATTTTTGAAATTTTATTAGTTTTAAGTAGGACAAATTATATGAGTTTATTGTTCTCCAAGCAAATTTGCGTCTTAGATTTAATTTGTATGTATTAATATACAGGGTGAGTCATTTTAATCAACGCACGCAAATATCTCGTAAAGTAAGCAAGATGGAAAAAAATGTTTTATACAAAAGTTGTAGGGTTCAGAGGGGGACACATGATGAAAATATGGACTTGACCTTGAGTGATCTTTTCAAGGCCAAGTCAATGTGATCGATATTTTCTTAAATGGAACCCCCCATTTTTTATTGCATATTCTTGTAGCTTATCTCGAAAGCTTTTCAAAACACTATAATAAAGTATTTTTTCATTAAGTACTTTTTGAGTTATTTTATATTTTAATCTGACATATTTTGATATAAAAAATAAAATATCTCGTAAAATATTTAGTTTTCGATAATCTTACTGTAATACTTTTATGTACATAAGAATGAGACAAATCAATTAGTGTAAAGAAAAAAAACAAATAATTGTTTAAAAAAATATACGAGATATTTGCGTGCGTTGATTAAAATGACTCACCCTGTATAAGTGACTACATGTTATAAATATTTAAGCGAGAAAAATATTTGTTTAAAATAACATTATACATTTTCAATTAACATTAAATAGTGCGTGCTGGGCATCTCTTGAAATAATTGTGCATGTAAACATGCACGTTTTCGCACTTCAAATTTCACAAGTATAATCTATAGATAGAATTTTTTTAATACTGTGAAAGTATAGACATGCAAAATTATTCGGTATCGAAATTCCGCTTTATGTTCTTTCGTTGACTTTTTTCAGGTAACCGAAAGCTATCGCACTAATTCTAAATGACAAAAATAGACAAAGAGGGAGCGAAATTCTCTTCTGTGCCACGGTAGAGGACGCCGGTTGTGAAAAGCTCTGATCACGGGGAAATCTTTCATCGTGCGAGCCTTCTCTCTGAGTTCATCCCTCCTCATAAGTTTATCGATAATTTGTCATTATCATACGCGAATTTCGCAATTCTCACGGAGAATTTTGCAATGTTATTTTAATGCAATGGAAAACGAATATAATTGATCTGTATTTAATTTGTCGAATATTTAAATAAGATAACAAAGTACGTTATCATATATATGTTGAAAAGGACACATATATTATAATATTCAATATTAGTAGATTTTTCCATTTAGAAAATATCTATTGACATTAGTTATACTTTTCAGAATTATATTGCGTTTTATTGTGATTAAAGATGATTATTAATTTTATTAAATTTAACTATTATGCCGCTGTAAACGCGAGCGATTATCTGATCTTATGAGAATCTTTCCGGCAAAAGAAGTCGGTTTAAAAGTCGAAACTGGGGAGATTTGATGTGACAAATGAGAGAAGGAACGCCGGAAAAAAAAGAAAAAAAAGAGAGGGAACCTTTAGCTCGTGTTTATGTGAAGACGGTGGCACGCTAATGTCGCTGTTTTGTGTGTCTTTTGTTTTGGAAGCGCCAATGCGACGGCAATCGCTCCACCCACCCTGATGGTCAGGCGGGCAAGCGTGCAACACAACAAGTGAATCAGCAGCAGCAATAGCGGAATCATCATCATCATCATCATCGTAATCAGCAACGTCGTTCGTCAGGAGCGATGACCAGCGATCACCGCCGCCGCCGCCGACACGGTGCACTCCTGCCTGTCGCAAACCGGAAATGAACTCGCGCGTACTCGCATCCGGTGAACGGTGATGCGATACGATTTTCGCGTATCAGTGACAATTCTATTCGTGTTGGTGCTTTATTTGCGATGTCCGCGATGAATATCGCGTAACAGAAAAAGTAACAAAAATGCCTGTGCGCGACTCTTCGTACCGAGTGGACGATGACGAAAAGAAAAGGGAAGAAAAAAAAAAACGATAGGCTTGTTCTCGCAGCGCGCAGAATAAAGTAATGCAGTATGTGCGTTGTATGGCGAACTGTAACAACTAAATCAACTGTGTGGCTAACAATACCCACCGCGCGTCTTCAAGATGCAATGACGCAACTCTCATCGTAGTGCGCAAGATTCTCAGGCGGATTATAGTACAGAATGTCCTGGATCTCTTTCTCACGATCGGAGCGAGACTCCTGTCTGGAGAAAAGAGAGAGAGAGAGAGAACGCTCTCAACGACCATACGTTCACGAGGGTAAAAATGAGGCTTCAAAATCGAAGTCGAATCCCTCGCATCTATTGCGGATGTAGGAGGATAAAACGTGATCGTTTTTTCTGTTTTCTTTTTTTTTTTCGAGGCGAATCGCAAATGTACAGTACGCGGTTTCGATGATGGATTCTCGCAGTTGTTCATCATACATAGAATAAATTTGGAGATCATTTAATTTTCATTGTACAAGAGGCGAGAACCGAACTGTGGCCAGTTTTGTTTTTTCTGAATTCAATACTGCATAAGTTTCATTTTGTGCGTATAAATTTCAAATGAGTAATTATATTTGTCAAAGTTCGTTGTAGCGTTATAATTAATAAACTGTTTTCGAAAGAGAGCAGAGAGAGCTCTCTTCTCAAGATAGTAATCAAATTGTAATAAAATTGAGCGCGTGTCGTAACAGAAGGCTACCTTGATATATTAAATATCTGTGGTATTTCTTTTATATATTATAAATATTCTTGATTATAATAGTGAATATTCTCCATTTGTAAATTCCTATAGAAACTTGTCAAAGATTAACTTCTTTTTTTTAAATGTTATATAAGTCGATTGATGGCTTATGTGATTATCCGTTAATAATATAGACTTCGCGAAATTATCGCGAATTATTATAATATTCGATTTTCATGAGACAGTTATGAGAATTAACATAATTCCGCGCAATTATTACCGTATCCTGTTCCACCGGCGGGCTGAATACGTATATGTATAAATGTAGAATATTTCTTCGTATAAGTCGCAACATGTACATAGACCGATTACATTGGTAACTCAAGCAGCTGTTGAGTGTGTAAAGCTGTTATGAATTTTTGCACAAAATACAAATGACATTTTTTCAGGCGATATAAACGAAATGTTAGTTCCATGTTAGTGTCAAGAGAATCAAGTGCAATCGTGGGGAAAAGCCAATATATACGGTTGTAATTATCAATTTTGCTAGAACGCGTTATTCGATATACATTGCTGAAACATCGCGTTAATACGGTTCTTGCCTTAAATTCGGCGTGTCATTGTTTCAGCCGAGCTAAAATCAAGGTAAAACATAAATTTCGGGAATATTTACGTGTTCAAGGAAATAATTGAAAAGTCATAAACATCGTGTAAAAGGATAAAATTTTAAAATTATTTTCCGAAATACCAGAGAATCTTCCGAAACGCTCATTTACTTGAACAATTTCGCTGAGGAGAGCAATATCACGTCGATTTACGGCACGGCAGCAGGATGCTGAAGTCTTTTCGCTAAAAAGCTCGATAGTTAAACGATCATACAGAACGTAGTACAACGGGCGTGCAAGAAGTTGGCGGGGAGGATGTCTAGTTTTAGGAACAATTCGTTCGGTTGTGCTTAGATGGTAAGAAGAAAACGAAGAAAACATACGATTGCGAGTTTCCGTGGAGCATTTCTATTTCATCAGCATCGATCGGGCGTACTGTACAGATGATGGTGTGTCGCGTGTGTGATGAATTATGTATGACGCCGTGGTTCGCGTACCGTTGCCGTCGTAATCGCGCGCTCCGAGGTAATGAGATCTTATGTACGGAAAACGCGATAACCGCGGGACAAATTCACTGTCTATAATAAATAATAAAACGGATGTGACCTCTTCTCGTCCCGTGACAAACCTCGTGCCCTTCCCTTTTATACAGTAACTATACTAATCGAGAATGTGTAACAGCAAAACCATTTAATAGCGGATTTGGTCCTGTTTATCGACCTTCCGTTTTTCTTTTTTTTTTTTTTTAATTAAGTTGAAAATAGACAGCAAAGATATGTCGTATATTGAATTGTATGTGATATATTGAGTTGAACGGAAAGTTCGTGCCGTTTTTTCGGTCTTCATTCGGGAATATTTACGTGTTCAAGGAAATAATTGAAAAGTCATAAACATCGTGTAAAAGGATAAAATTTTAAAATTATTTTCCGAAATACCAGAGAATCTTCCGAAACGCTCATTTACTTGAACAATTTCGCTGAGGAGAGCAATATCACGTCGATTTACGGCACGGCAGCAGGATGCTGAAGTCTTTTCGCTAAAAAGCTCGATAGTTAAACGATCATACAGAACGTAGTACAACGGGCGTGCAAGAAGTTGGCGGGGAGGATGTCTAGTTTTAGGAACAATTCGTTCGGTTGTGCTTAGATGGTAAGAAGAAAACGAAGAAAACATACGATTGCGAGTTTCCGTGGAGCATTTCTATTTCATCAGCATCGATCGGGCGTACTGTACAGATGATGGTGTGTCGCGTGTGTGATGAATTATGTATGACGCCGTGGTTCGCGTACCGTTGCCGTCGTAATCGCGCGCTCCGAGGTAATGAGATCTTATGTACGGAAAACGCGATAACCGCGGGACAAATTCACTGTCTATAATAAATAATAAAACGGATGTGACCTCTTCTCGTCCCGTGACAAACCTCGTGCCCTTCCCTTTTATACAGTAACTATACTAATCGAGAATGTGTAACAGCAAAACCATTTAATAGCGGATTTGGTCCTGTTTATCGACCTTCCGTTTTTCTTTTTTTTTTTTTTTAATTAAGTTGAAAATAGACAGCAAAGATATGTCGTATATTGAATTGTATGTGATATATTGAGTTGAACGGAAAGTTCGTGCCGTTTTTTCGGTCTTCATCTGTTAGCAAAAAACGGAACGAACTTTCCGTTCAACCTAATACATATATATACACAGAAAAAGCGATCGTCGATGAACATTACCGCAATATCGTTTTGCTAACGTGTGTATGTCCCGTGTTTGTAGCAAGTATGTGTGTGTTAATTACGTGCGAAAGAGAGAGAGAGTTTGCGCGCGAACATGAGAAGGAGAAAAATGATGGGGAAGGAAAGTGCGAATAAAGTGCGTGCGTGCTCGAATCATAAGAAACGGATACCAAAAGAATGTCCGTCGCATTCGTATTTCCCATTATTTAACGCTTTAAATGCGGAATCAACTGATTCTGCGCTTTTGTTTATCACGTGCAATTTCGCATTGACTGTTAAACAGTCGTGTACAGCGTTAAATATGGGGTACGTTACGGATCAATGAGTCTTTAATCTCACGTTCAACTATTCAAGGACCGGTTGCACCGACGACGGTTAACATAGTTGACTGTTTTCTCTCTACATATCGCAGAATCAAGATCTAGAATCAGTATCTTTCAATTTTTTTTTTGTGCGCTGCCGCGTGACCGCCTTCCGAGTTTAATTTATAGTTTTCGATCTCTCCTATCATTGCCTAGTTGGGGAGAAAGACTGGAAGGATCGCTTAAAAATTTACAACAGCTGTCTGACATAATATGCCATGGTTTATGTAACCCACGTAGAGAAATATTAACTGGTATCAAATATCTGAACTATAGATCTTGCATACTATTGTTATTATGATACTTAATGCTATCAAACACATTACTCCTTTCACGCATGTCACCATCAAGACATCAAGAACTTTTCTTCCGAATATTACTGTATTTTCACTTGTCACTTTACAGCCTTATCTCATAACGCGTAGTTTATTATAACTCTGCGTGTCAATTAACCGAGATCGTTGATACAACCGATCCCAACTATTGCGATTTAGAAGATTGAGCTCGCGGTTCCGAATTCAAACAACACTAACGCTATAAAGATATTCTAGAAGACATTCTAAACCTTCGAAATATCTTTTAAGTGTCTTTTAGAGTTTGGCGTTCATTAAAGCTGCAATTATGCGAAATGCTTGACCTTTAAAACACTTGTAAGATATTGTAAATCCCAAATGCATTTTTGTCCTGTATCTGAGTCTTTTATCGGAATGTCGCACCGGCAACTTTCCACGCATTTCAGCACTTGCGAAAGATACGGATGTTCCGAAATCATTCTTTGGAGAGATTTCAGAAAAAAAGAAGAGTCAAGTATTTGCGCGTTAACGTTAGCGAAAATCACCCGTTTCCGCCTCATCATCTTCGTCCTTTCTTCCTGGTCTCTCTGCCCTTCCTTCCCCCGTTTCGGTTCTCTTCCTAACATCTTGTGCGATATATCGTACGATGCGTTGCATATAAAAAAGTGAAGAAAAAAAAATGAGAAAACGTGATAAAAAGTTACGCATATAAATATATTATACCAACACCGTGTTTTTCTATGTATTTTTTTCTTTTTTTTTCATATAGGATACTATTACTACTATTACTATTACTACTATCATATTATTACTATTACTATTAATACTACGACTATTACTATTACACTACCGCTGCTGCTATTGCTAATTAACTGTTATTACTTTGTATATTGTGTAGTCAAATTCTCTGTATCACAACGATCTACTCGAGACGAAGCTACGTCGATGATGGAGGACGAGGACAAAGCAACGTGTCCCGACGCGATATCCACCTGTTCCGATCATCGCACATTGTACGTTGCATTTCTTCGTTTCCTCTCGCGCGGGTGGAAAGTATCGGGCAGCATAAATCAATTATTAAAAGGAAAATTTTAATTATTAATCCAAAAATTTTTCGTATTGCATTTTTTCGCATCTTGTAAAACACATTTCGCTTTTTGATTGCATTGTTACATTAAACTGAAAAATGACAAAGATAAAACAAGGGCTGAAAATATAATTTTAGAGATATAAAGTTTTCAGACGCAAAGTTTTATTACACAGATAGACGCAAAATATTTCGATCGCAAGATTATTGAATCTGATCAATTTTAACTATGTAAGCAATCGAAAGTGATCTAAAGGATGACTATTCTTTTCGCGACTATCTTTAATTGTGACATTAAAGATATTTTTATCGATTAATTTTATAATTTTCTAATATTGTCTAGCATAAGAAAAATGCATCCCTATATCATATCGAAACATGCTATGTGCTTTGCCTTTTTTAGGGGACGCAGGCAGTTTTTTAAATTCTATCTCTCATTGTTTATTAGTCAAAATATATTGGTAGTGATCGGAATTTTTGTAAGGGATTTTTTATCATCGTCAGTGATAGCTTAATGTAATAGTTACCCTGCCATTAATCGGATTCGAAGCCTGATATTTTCCACTTCGAGTCACTTTCTTCGCTTCTCGTTCGAACAAATCTCATTTACCGCCTGAGAGAGAAGTTTCCTTGAGCCAATAGCATTACGCTAGTTATCAAACTTTTCTCTTTTACTGAAGGGGAAATCTCTGCATACTCCCGTTTATTATTTCAAAAAACTTAGAGCTATATCAATCTTTTCTCGCGTCGCTTTTTTTACACAAAAACAATCATCTTATATAATCTTTCTTTTCTGTATTAGCTAGATTGTTTTACTTTATATAATTATTTACAGTTAATTTATATTATATACAACTTCTTATTACAATAAATTTTTAGAAAATATTTTAGAAGTGTTAAAACACAGAGTGAGTTTTGTTATGATTCGGCTTCTCGAAATAATACTTGAATATTGTTAATCAATTTATACGAAATTAAACATAATTGTAATACGATAATAGTCATTGCGCGCGCGAGAATTATTCTTCAATTTCCTATTTATTTATGATAAGCGATGCTTTCGAGAATACGTGTACATATACGTTGACTCAAGGAAAGTCTTACAACAGCAAGTTACCGTTTAATCAAGAAAGAAAAAAAACACTGCCAGCGCGAGCAAAAGTTCTTGCGTTTTCCCATCAAAACTGACTGAAGATACACGCAGCAGCGATCCTCGGGTTCGTTGCTTCGTCCTCTTAAATCATCGCGGATTCATTGAGCATTCAACAAATCTTCTCGAGATGATCGATGCCACGAGGAGGAACGGTCATTCCTCCTTGTGTTATTTTTTATTTTTTATTTGCGCAGTTTGCATGACCGCAAGGCCCAATCGAAGAATGACGAAAGATAGGAATTGATATATTTACAATTTAAATTATTTTATTGTTATTATGTATAATTATAATTTATATTTCTTTAGCTAAAATCGATTTTTTAATCGATTATAAATAAAAATTTATAACTGATTAACAAATAATTTATCTGTAATTAGAGATGCGAAAATGTGAGATTTATTTCTGCACAACCTGATAATATCTTGAGCATTCGATAATCTGTTTCTGCGTTCTACGGTTGGACCTGCGTTTTGGATGACACACGGTAATGATGCAGACTGTCGTGCAAGTGAAAGCTGTAATTATCCAGATGAGAGAATACGCGTCTTTTCTTTGCGCGATTATGGATTATAGTTATGAATTGTACGTGCTTGTTCAGCCGGCCTAGGGGAGCTTTCATGAATATGTGCAAAATATATATGAGAGAGCGTTTCAGAGTCTCGAGTCCGTTTTGCGAGACCGATGATAAGCTCCGATAGTCTCCCTCGGCAATATGATGTCACGAAGACTATGGCAAATGTCGATGATAAATTCGCGATCGATGTATTTTAAGTGTACTAATTGAACTGTGTGTATCGAGGCGAAAAAAAAAACGGTTTGTATATGTATATACAATTATTATTATAATCTATTGAAGCAAGAAGGACATTATAATAATATGTGCAAGTGTGCTTGAGAAGAAGTGAGAAAGAGAATGAGAGGAAAAGAGTGCAAGAGAGAGAGAGAGAGAGATTAAATAAAAAGTGTCCGATAAAATGTGTGGCGAAAAGGGCAGCAAAACCGAGAACGATAAAAAATAATAAACATTGTAAAACTGTCTTTGTGTACTATATGAAAAAAAAAAACAACAACCATACCTATAGTTGAAGTGTGTTTCGGTTAATGTGAGAGAGAAAGAGAGAGAGAGAGAGACAGCGGGATGGTGTGATCTGTTTGATATTGCTATAGCCTTGTTTCTTCGGTTGCTTTGCATTTGTACTTCGTTTTGGCGAAAGAACGTTGGAGATTGGTCGTCGAATGATGAGAATATTAACCCATATACACTCGCAATTTTTTTTTTCACGAAACAATTCACGAAATAGAGACAAAAAAAAAACTAAGCGATCCTCTTTAATGTTTCTGCTTTTTAAAAATTTATGTTTTTGTTTTCTATCAAAAGAATATTAATAATAAGAAAAAAAGCTATTATAAAAGATAGGATTTTTTTCAATGATCTCAATTATTTATCGTAATTTGGCATAAAGCACATTTAAGTTAATTATTATTCTTGCTAATATCGCAAAATATTTCTTGCGCAATATATACCATTGTAAAACTAAAACGTGCACCAAATATATCGCGGATACATAATGCTGTATATAAATGGGTTAATCGCTATGCATCTTCGTTGCACCACAGAGAAGATTTTCCTTCTGTTGTAACCCGCTCTTGTTAAACAACCAAGAACGACTACGTATAATACTTATATTATCATATATTTTATTTTTGTTTAAAAACAAGAGAAACAAGGAGAGAGAGAGAGAAATAAAATGTTTAATTTTGGCAAAAAAAGATATATTTGTGTAGAGCTCGCTTGATAATGGCAATTGCTTTGTTATCACGTTTATAATGATCTTAAGATATATAGCAAGAGCGAGAGACAACAAGGAAAGCTCTCTGCTTGTTGACCTGCAATAATTTGTGAAAATGATGTAAATTAAAAAGCTATCGATTCAGTAACGTTAACGTTAACGTTGTTAGGAAAAGAGAGAGAGAGATTGCGCGTTGTTAGGAAATTTAATATTTTCGCGCTACTCTGGCTGAAATCGATTGATTAAAACGAATAAAAAATGGCTGGTAAGATAATGAAAAGCGATATTGTTACTCGCTTATAAATTTTGGTCGGTGGAGTCAGTAAATGACGAGTAAACGCGTTCTGGCGATAGCGGATTCGCTATCTATCTCTTGATGCATACGCGATCTTGCTTTGAAAAATGTATCGAGCGTCAGTGATGTTTAAACATGTCTTGTAATTCGATAAAATGTGAGAATGACACGTTCTGATTAAGATCGTTTCGTATGCAGCACATGATATTTCAGCCATATGCAGAGCAAGGTGTCCCGAAAATAATTGTATCCGCAACAAAGAATTTCGACATTTCCATGCTTCAGTTTTATTTGAAGAAATCGTAATATCTTTTGATTTCAAGCACTAAAAATTATAAATGACTTTTACAGTTTCGTATAAACGACTATCAATGAATCTGTTGTAATTTTTGATAAAATCTTTGTGTTCTGGAAGGCATGTGAAGAATATAATACAAACTCCGCTATAAATCTGACGTAAAAGCATAAAATAATTATAAACCGAATCAAGTCTCAGTTGCAATAGAAATTACTACATTTATTCATTTCTTGCTTTTATGTAATTGATTAGGTTGATATTGAAGATTGTAGTACATTTTATAAATTTGCTTAATCAAGCTGGAATAGTTTCGTTGACAAATAGTTTATACGGAACATATTCGTAAATTACAAAATTTACCGCCTTCTATTTCCCTATGGCGTTCAATTAAAATACATAATAAAGATGCCGGCAAAATCTAAACAATTGATTATACTACTGACTATTCTAGTGAATTTTTCATCGAATTTGAAATCTGATGCTAAATATGAGATGATAGATATATAGCTTTTTCGGACACCCTGCAGATTTGAGACATGTCACTATGGAAATAACACGATATCGAAAGGAAAGAACGACATATTCAATTTGTATTGTTTCCTTCAGCAGGCTATCTTAGTTTCTCCGCTGCGTTACGTTCACCGTAGGAGTAAATTAGGAGCCGAAAGAAAAGCGTTCGCGTTATTTAGATCGAATGCAACTACGGCAGAGGAGAGCTCGCGAATTATACGTACACATGTGCTGTATTTCGGCAGAATATTTTCGAAAATATACTCGCGAGACATCCGTGGCTAACAATAAGCACGGATTCGTCTCTTTTATTCGCGGCTTTCTCTGTCGGCGTCTGTTTCGAACCTAGTTGAAGATGAAGAAAAGAGGAAATGAAGCATTTTTTAAATTAAATTAAAATGAATGAAAAAAAGCACGTTTGGATTCTCTATCAACTGTTCTATCCGAGTCCCTTCAAAAATCCTGTCGAATTTCATGTAAGTTAAATACATGATTATATTAGATAATCTTTACTTTTTATTTATTTTATATAACATTGTTATTTATAGAAAGTGTCACTCCATTAGTCCGAATCCAAATCCATAGATATAGAATTTTTGTAATAGAGATTCATGTATCCAAAATATGATTGAATATTCCTTTTTAAGAGGCTGGATCTTGAATTTCTTTTTATGCTAAACTAAACTGCTACGTAACCGCCGTCAACGAGCAAGCAGACGCCGTCGATCATGGAACTTCGGTCGCTCAATAAGTATACAATAGGATCCACTACTTCGTCAAGTTCTGCAACAATAATTTAGCACAATTTAAAATGATTATTGATATATGAAGTTATTTATGAAGTTAAATGACAAGTAAAAATTATTTTCTATGAAACACAAATTAGTTTCGTTAGCTTTTATTTCAAGAATTAAATTCAAATTTATACTTTATGAATATCGTAATTTTATAATGACATTTGCAAATTATTAGTTACCGTTATCAACATTTCTATGAAAATCTATTCAAATAATCCCTTAACTTTGTTAGAAATGACACGTGTCAAACGCTAGCTGTCAGTTACTGATTACTTATATTTTCCTTATTACCGATCAGTCATGATGATGATGATATATATCAACATGTGTTTACACGAAAAATATCTATCTAGTAAATGGTAAGATATTTATGTGTGACGCAATATACATAAGTAAATGTTACCGCGAAGGTCACGAAGAGATAATTTATTTTTATTTGCAAAATGTGCATTACGACATTAGCATTTTATTTCCATTTGTGAGTCAATAAGTTTGTACGAATTCTAAATTAAAAGTTATGGATTATAAATTGCCAAATCTAAATTTATAATTTGTTTTCATACAAATTGTAAATTAATAAATTATTTGTATATTGTACTTTGTGAAATTATATCTTTCATATTTTAACTTAATTAGAGAACTTCTAATTAAATTAAAATAACTTAATAACTATATAATCAATTATTTCCGATTAGAATTCATCACTTTAGAATACTTGTTACGTACCAGCAAATCGACCCAGCGGAATTTTACTTGTCATGTCTTGTGCCTTCTGCGGGTCGCTCCAACCCAATTTTCCCATTTCCGTCATCACGACCGTAGGACTGACAGTGTTGACTCTTATATTGTGCGGCCCTAGCTCAAGAGCCATTGCCCTAAAAGTAGGCAAATATAAAGGTTAAAAACAAGGTATCATCGAAAAGATATATTTTTTGATTACACAAATTAGTATCAATCTTTTGCGATAAAAATATCGAGTTATTAATAGTTAGATTATAAGAAGCCGAAAATAAATGTGCAAATTATACTTTAGAGATAAAGATCACCGAAATCTTATTCTTGGTTTAATCTTATTTAAAATTCTGTTCAAGTGAATTTTACTTTAATAGAATTTTAATCAAGACAAACTTTCACTGAACAAAAATTGACACCAAATTGATCGATGAAAAACGCGCTTCTAAATTTTTTATTTTTTCGTCAATGCACATTTGGCATTTCTGTATTTATTCATAGATTAATTCGTACGTAAACTGCGAATATTTTTTATCTTGTTTCGTCCCAATAACATTCTATTGTATTAATAATTCTGGAAGCAAACGTATTAAATGTTGAGTTTTTATTTTATGTATCACACAACAATATTATTTTACTTTGTTAACATGTCAAGAGCTCCTTTGGTCGCGCAATAAACGGTGTGATCCTTCAATGCCACCTGACCGGCCTGCGACGATATATTTACAATGCTACCGCCGCTTTTGCGTTCAATCATGCTTTTGGCTACAACCTGGGACACGTTCAATACAGCCTTCACATTGACATCAAAACTCAGGTCGAATTCCTCCGGCGTGGCGTCTAAAAACGGTGTAAGGCACGCGACACCGGCATTATTGACCAATAGATCGATCGGCAGAATGTTCTGAATGGCTTTCCGGGTTGCATCCCAATCGCGAAGATCGACGCAGACCGGATGTATTTTCGGATCGGCCGTCACCAAATTGTCCAAGTTTTTCTTCGTTTTCGAGAGCGCAAACACCTCTCCCTTGTATTTGGAGAGACGTAGGACCAATTCTCTACCGATACCTGCATTTAATAACGAAAATTGATCACGAAATAGCTTTCTATCGTCAATAGTTTAATAATTTTTAAAAACATTTTTCTATTAAAACTGCGCGCTCTGAAAAAAACTGGATTATCAATTTTCAAATTGATTTTATAGCTTGAATTAAACTAAAAGATAAATTAATAAACCTCCTAATTATGAATAAGAAAATACAACATTCGATTTTTTTATTATTGCATATATGTATATGTTGAAAAAATTTTGATTATTTATCTTTTTGTGTCAAATTATCGGATATGATAATAAATTGAAAGTTAAGACAAATGTTAACAAAAACATTTTTTTTTAAACGTTATATTATCACAAGGCATTTATATTCATAAAATACAATTAACATACGTAAAAAACTGTTCAACTTTTAAAATAAACGAAATGTTTATTTGCATTGATTGTGGTTCATTTATAACAATTTTTGTTCCGCTGAAAAATATAATCAACATATTTACGTTATTTTTTATCTTATTAATTCAATTATATATATCAATTTTTTCATCGTATGCAATATGTTTAAAACGTGATTCACACGATGCTTTTTCATTAATTAATAGCATACTAATTTGCTAGTAACTATATGTATAATAAAAAAAGCATTGTGTAATTTAAAATGCTAGTAAACAAGCATGTTTTTTTCTCTCTCAAATTAACATGTTATCACGTAAAAATATTTCAACTTTACTAACTGTTAGCGCACTGACATATGCTAATAGCTAGTAGCTAGTAAAAAAGCATCATGTAAACCACGCTTAAGAATTGATCTTTAAATCTAAGAGAAAATATTTTTCGAGAGATTTAAAACACCAAAGATGTGTATGACGTACCTTGACCAGCGCCAGTCACGAGAATACGCTTTCCTTCGAAGCTGATGTTCATGGTTGATGCTCGTTCTATTGTATTAATAATAGCACAGTACTACCACTATAATGCAGTATCGTACACGCTTATCTCCGTTGATCTCACACGCAATCTTTGACACGCTTGTCCTTCTCGGTGGTCTGCCTGGTAATGTGCGAGCAGTGGTATGCGCGGAAACGTCAATGGAGTGTTTGTTAGACATTTGATAAAGCTATCTACGCATATATACACGATATTAGTTTCGATTAAATTCTACCATTTCTTTTCGGAGTAAAGCCCTTATATATGTCGACGAGAAGCGGCACATTTGAAACATTTCTGTGCAACTATACAGATAACGGATGCGAGACAATCGATAAATAAGACATTCTATATAATTGTGATGCAAAAAGCAGACGAAGGAAATTGGTAAACAATATATGCTATTGAGATAGATATATATTGATCGTATTGGCACATTTATATAACATAGTATAAAATATTATTACAATATATAAAAATATAAAAACATTTTTTATATCACACTATGCTCTTTAATAGTGTGATTATGAACTATATATAAACCTAAACTCGAACGGATTGTATATTTCTTCAAAGAAATCTATAAAATTATGGCAACTCTCTTTTCTATAAAAATGCTTGTATATTGTTTACATTGACTATATTTAATCATTATCAACTTGAAGTTAATAATATATGTATAAGAGTGTATTAGCAGTAGATTAGCAATCGCGAGAAAATAAATTTCAGTTGGAAATTTTATCAATTTAGACCCGCAAGTTGATTTCTTCGACTAGATAATTCAAAATTCTTTTTTTATCTCTTTGGCCTCCAAATTAATCATAGTTCATTTCGATTTTTTGATTTGATAGACGCGACAGTATTTTGCACGAGTTTTGAGTCTTCCGTGTCGCTGATGTGACCATCCTCACCGGTATAATGCATCGGATAAATTAGAAGTGGGTTTGTTGATAAAATAATCAAATCCCGAATAGGAAATTGAGCTGCCCACTGTTCACTGTAGAAAAAACAAGATGCTATATGAATGTTAAAACATTCGCCGAAGCAAATCGAATGTAATCACACACCTAATCGATCGCGACTTTTATCAAAACATTCTATTTTGTATTGTGCAGGATTTATATCATTTTTTTGAAATTTATTTGTTCTGGTTTTTGCCGTGGATATTAACCGTCTACTTATCCTTGAAACTTTATGCGCATTAATCATACATACTTAGGATGCGTATCCGAAAGAATGGGGAGATATTCGTCGACGGGAATTAATTTCCCGAGAGGCATTGCGCCGATCAGTTTCTTCGCTCCGCTGTCCGATAAAATGTAGCCGAGTGTCCAATAACTATATGCCGCATGCAATAAAAATTTAGAGCCTTCTACTGGACTCTCGGATTGTGCCAGTCTCTTCCTGCCTATGTACCTAAAGTAAATTATAAGATTGAGAAAATGTAACGTGCTAGCTTTTTAAGTCTGGTTACATTAATATCTCTTAGATAGGGCTAATTTCGATTTAATTTAATTTAATTAATTTAATTAATTTTCTTTCTCTGTCTCCATTATATATATATATATATTGTAATCAATAATTTTGTAATCAACTTCCTGTAATTACAATCTATATATTTCATTTAAAGTTATATGTGTAAACAGCAATAACATTTATTGATTAAAAACATTAAGAATAAGAAAATTTAAATCCGGTTGTATTAATATTTTGTAATAGATAAGTCCTAACTGATAAAACCTGACTTATCTGTCACAAAATATAAGTACAACCGGGTCTAAATTTTCTTATTGTTAATATTTCTGTTTTTTTCTTTTAATTTTTCTATACGCATTTAACATCAAATGAAATATATATATTGTAATCACAAAAAGTTGATTACGAAATAATTAATTATGAAAATCAGATCGCGATAAAATTATTAAAAAATAAATTTAATTTAAATAAATTTTGCCAGGAAACTTACACCAAGTCCCATTCGATTCCGAGGTAGGACAGTTCCGCCAAAACGTAATTGACTTTCTGTCGAAAGAACGGCTCGAAGCGGACGTCGTCCTCTAACACCATGACTCTTTTATAGCCGTTCTCTAGCACCTAATTTATTTATTTTATTAATAATCACCACATAACGAATATATTTTGAAGAATATTTCCTTACCTTCTGCCATATACCGTAGTGACTGAGAAAACAGCCAATCTCCCCCATCGTCATCGGTCTAAAAGAAAATTAATGATACTAAATAGCAAAACTGGCAAATAAGAACCAAGGCGTGGTTATTGGTGCGCAAATTTTTTGTTGTTAAATTTCATTTACAATTAATGATTACATGAAGAGTTCACAATTCTTGAGAATATACAGAATTTCATATTTAAAGCGAATTTTATAGATTGTGAAACTCTGACTGTCTAAGCTCTCTCTCTCTCTCTCTCTCTTTTCTAATTTGAAATTTGATTAGTTAAATCAAATTCTTTTCTCCGTGCATTTTCAGATTCTTACCTTTTGTAATAAGGATCAGAATATTCTGGCATCGGTGTCACACCCCATTTCTGTAGAGAGCTCTCATTCAAAGTCCTAGAACAATAAGAGAGAATAACGGAATTATATGAAACAGATTAACAAAGAGTAAATATTTGTCGGATATAAATTTCAGGCAGTTTTGGAAATAAGCATAGCCGAAAAGAGTAATCAATTAAAAACAATGTAACATTATTATTTAATAGTTGATCAGTGAAATATTGATGATCTTCTTGGAATATGAAAATTTGACGTAAAATGATAACATTAAATTAATTTTCATAAGCAGTTTCTTGATCAATCTACGATGATATGTTTTAAATGAATGTTAGATTTTATACATATGCGATGTTGGCCCAATCATCGAAATTAATTTGAAATGTGCATGAAGATACAGAAAATATTCCTAAATTTATATTACAAAATGTTGAATATTTCGAAGCGGTAACAAAAATTATTATATGATATTTGGCTATCGTTTTTCTCTATATTATTGTTAACGTAAAACATACGGTCATTTTATTGTCATTCGAGTAGCGTGACTTGAGCAAAAAGGTTCTGGTGCGAAACGCTCTATATATTATCGAATTCCTTTCCTAAACGATGCGAACGTGACAAGCATCAGAAAATAATTCGCTACGATTGTTATTATTAACGATTAATTACTTTTCATAAACGACATGTAACTGTATCGCAACGATATTAATCTTTATCGAAGTACGGGATCATTTATTATTTATATGCAGTTAAATATATTTCTATATTTTAAATGACGTTGGTGGGAGGGCTTAGTACCTGGAAGGTTTATCCTGAAGGGGAAGCCAAGTATACCCAAACGCAATTTGTGACAATGCTGTAAAAACATTGACACGAGTCGCAAATAATTCATATGTAGTAAGACATATTTAAACGCACATTAGTGCGTCAGCTTTCAATATTTCGCAAATGATTAGCAGCGACTTTGCGTAATATTTCAATTTTGTTCCGATAAGCGGTTCGGTTTAGATCAATTAAAATTTGATCGAATGATCAATAATGGCAGGATAATCTTCGTTTACTTCCATCCCATCTCTTGTCTCATGTACCAGTGTCGCCATATCATGTTTTTATATGTAGATAGCCGGACACTACAGCCTCCTTTCTCATTACATTTTAAAGACATAGAGCTCTGAGACAAGAGTCAGCGCGAATATGATTCGCGTCGATTCTATTCATCGATTTCGTATTTTTTCGCTTAGTGCATCAGTTTTTAATATGTCACGGATATCACGGATATTACACTCTTCAATGAACGCGTAACATGTGCTTATAGTGTTCTAGTACGTAAAAAAAATATTCAAATTGCAGGATCGAGTAATTAATATTACGGAAAGCTTTGTGATACATCTATCGATTAATAAATATTGTAATCAATCTATAATTTGAAATACTTTTGTAAATTAATATATCGCGTATATATATAATTAACTTTGATAAACAACACAAAACTGTATCGCGACATAAATCTTTATCGAAGCATGTGATTGTTCCGTGATTGACAGAATCGTGCAAAGTATTCCGTCATCGCGTATTCGTAATTAACCGTGTTTTCGCAAGTAAATGTAAATGCTACGTGGATTCAGCAAATGGACAAGAGAGGAAAAAAAACTTCGGAAAAACATCAAGCGATGGACGGAGCGACAAGTATGCGATAAATAATTTATATTCGTATTCATCATTCATGTTATAAATAATTGAGTAACTCTCCACGAGATATAAAAGAAACTCTTAACATTTTGACGCTCAGACCAATATTGCAAGAGATATTATTAATTAATAATTAATTTGCAGAATTAATTAAATAAAATTTACAATGTTAAATAAATTGAAAAATTGTGCTTATATTTTGAAAACTTTACTAACTCGAACGGGATAGATGAAACGTCTAATTTTCTATTATTAGACTATAAATTACACCGATTATTCTCAATTCGCTGAAATGTAAATAAATATCTAGCGCAATGAAACACGCAAATGAATAGCAAACAGTATATTATCATGCTCATATCCTTGTTATTAGATTAGTGAAAAAAAGTAGCGAAATACGAAAAAGCAGAAAGTAAAAATAGGTACTAAATCTAAAAATAGGTACTATAAACCAGGAAACAGATGGCTACGAGTTGCAATGACGTAAATTGCATTCTCTTCTCCATCAGTCTGGATTATATACGCCTACGTTGGATACCCAATCTCGCTTCCAAGAAAAAAATTCCATCCCCAGAGGCACTAGGATTTCGATTAAGTTTTACGCTGTTCTCTCATCATGCTTACTTTGCGAAACCACGAATTTCGCATCTCCAGTATTAATCATATGTAGATCATTTTTGAAAAGTGACATTTTGACTATTTCCCTTCTTTCCCT